TATAAATATATAAACTATGTTACATGCGTTATATGCGTCTCTAATTATTTTTCCCTAGCAAATTTCAATTGAACCTAAAGCCGCCACGTCAGTTTAATTGATATGCTAATTGATTGACAACTAAGCAATGTTACTTTTTAATTAATACAAACTTGAGGTTACATCTTTTCAAATGTTTCTCAATTAATATATAGGGGATATTAGTATAAAAATTTCACCCCGCGCATGCGCGCGGATTATCATCTAGTTTTTAGTAATTCTCTAATCACTACTAAGTCATACCGGTTAGATTCTGCTTACCATTTAGAACTAACGAATATTTCTAATTTCAAATAAAACAAAATGGAAACTGTAGAGACTATATAGGATTGAGATCTTTAAACCTCTTTCAATCATGAACTACTCGCCTTCTCCAACTTTTAAAGCTCATCATAAATAAAAAGTAGCCGGAAATAAGAAGTCTTTTTATCTTTCCATTAAAATCCAAATCCTATAAACTATATATTGTAGCTTCTCTGTTCTTTACTTATATCCCACGTTATATACATATAGCTTATAAATAGTTATATCCCGAATAAACTTCCCTCACTCTCTTGTTTCTACTCTCACCTTCCTAGCTATATAAAACCCTATCTACTTCACTCTTCCTCTCAACTTTCTCTTCTTCTCTTTGCTCTGTTCATTCTTTCTTTCTCTCACTCTAGAAAGCAAATATGATAGTGGTAAGGGAATACGACCCTAGCAGAGACTTAGCCGGTGTGGAGGATGTAGAACGACGGTGCGAGGTCGGACCAAGCGGCAAGCTTTCTCTCTTCACCGACCTTTTGGGTGACCCGCTTTGTAGGATCCGACATTCACCTTCTTTTCTTATGTTGGTAAGTTAATTGTCTTCCCAACTTTTCCTTTTTTGCTGAAAATAAGCATTAGAGTTTCTTGATGATCAACTTCTCAACCTTTGAATAATCCAAAAAACCATTTCCAAAAATATAATTAAAAAAAATTGTAGTTCATTTTTGTTTCATCATATATTTGATTTTCTCCTACTCTTGATAAGATCAAAAAGCTCATCATTTATATTTTCTAGTAAAAAAATATCGTGTAGCTAACCATAAACATAAAGATATATACTTTTCAATTTATCAACAAAGGTTAAGAAAAAAAAAACAAATTTAATAGTATGGTTGTCACAGGTGGCTGAGATGGGTACGGAGAAGGAGATAGTGGGCATGATTAGAGGTTGCATCAAAACCGTTACATGTGGCACAAAAAACCAAAACGACACCGTTAAGCCTCTTTACACTAAACTCGCTTACGTTTTGGGCCTCCGTGTCTCTCCTTCTCACAGGTACCGTTCCGTTACTCCCATTAATCACGAATTAATGCTAATAAAGACTAATAATTAAAACGTTAACCATGATTTTGTGCAGGAGGCGAGGCATAGGGTTTAAGCTCGTGAAGATGATGGAAGAATGGTTTACGCAAACCGGCGCAGAATATTCGTATATTGCAACTGAAAACGATAACCAAGCTTCCATTAATCTTTTCACGGGAAAATGTGGTTACACAAAGTTCCGTAAACCGTCCATTTTGGTTAATCCGGTTTACGCCCACCGGGTTAACGTCTCACGTAAGGTAACCATCATCAAACTGGACCCGGTTGACGCAGAATCTCTGTACCGGCTCCGGTTCAGTACGACAGAGTTTTTCCCGCGGGATATTGATTCGGTGTTGAACAACAAACTCTCTCTCGGGACTTTTGTCGCTGTGCCACGTGGCAGTTGTTACGGGTCCGGGTCAGGATCATGGCCCGGTTCGGCTAAGTTTCTTGAATATCCACCCGAGTCTTGGGCCGTCTTGAGCGTTTGGAACCTTAAAGACTCGTTTCGGTTAGAGGTTCGTGGCGCGTCGCGTTTGAGACGCGTAGTTGCTAAGACCACGCGTGTGGTTGATAAAACGCTGCCGTTTTTGAAACTTCCTTCGATACCGTCGCTCTTTAAACCGTTTGGTCTTCACTTTATGTACGGTATAGGCGGAGAAGGCCCACGTGCGACAAAGATGGTGAAGTCATTGTGTGGACATGCACATAACATGGCGAAGAAAGGAGGTTGTGGTGTTTTGGCGGCGGAAGTTGCCGGAGAAGAGCCGTTGCGGCAAGGGATACCTCACTGGAAAGTACTGTCGTGTGATGAAGATCTTTGGTGCATTAAACGGCTTGGAGAAGACTATAGTGATGGTGTTGTTGGTGACTGGACTAAGTCACCACCTGGTACTTCAATCTTTGTGGATCCCAGAGAATTTTAAATCTTTCTTTTTAATCCTTAATAATTATAGAATCTTAATATTAACGTTCATGTCATATATATTAGGGCGTTTTTATTTGTAAACTCTTAGATCTTTTTTTGGTTCCTAAGTTCTTGATGAGTTCTGGAACTGGTCTTCTTGTTTTTCCTAGGTATCTTGTTTTTTCTTTGTTTGTGGGTGGTGTTAGTGGTAAGAGGCAATATCTCCTACTTTTGGGTTTGTGTTTTCTTGTCTTGTAAATGGAACTAGCTTTTTAAGATACCTTTTCTCTCTGGCCATGTTAATAAAATTATATATAAATAGAACTTTAATGAACATTGATAAATAGGATTGTATCATGTAAGATGATAATCTTCCAGATAAAATAACAGTTGTGATAGTAGATGCTGGATGTATCATGTACAGAATGTATTAAGGATAATGATAACCTGACCACTATTTTTTGTCAGACATTTTTTTTTGTTTGTCATGACCTGTGAATATATTATTGCGCAATGAAATTCTATAAGCCACTAATTTCCCAGAATCTTACTGTCCCATTGTTTATCTAAGTTACCAATCAAATTCACTTTTGTATGAACTTTTTGAATACCCACTAGAAAATCCCATTCAAACTATAACAAGAGAAAGATACAGATTTCTTAAGAGAATAAAAGACAGTACGTATATTAGTTTAGTTGCTCTTTTTTAGGTGGGATTTGGTTCTTAGTACTTTGCTAATTCGAGATTGATCATTGATGGATATTGAAGGATAGAAACACCTTTAGGTATCGGCCCTCTTACGTGTAAATAGAATGAATATCAATGTCATGGACCACACTTTTTCTCCATTTGATGGTCCCAAAGATGTTAAACTGATAGATTTTTATGTTTATTTTGTTGGGTTGCAGTAGCATGATTGAAACCTTTGAATCAGGTTTGAGAACGTGTCCTTCTCCAAAGAGGTATTGTCGAGTCGTGAGCACCGATCGAGTCAGAGAAAGTTTATACCATAAGGCCTCGTCCTTCGCATAGTATGACATGTGGATATAACTTGCGACTTTGTGTTTGTGGATTATATTTCAGTTATAAACATTATCATATCATATCATCGAAATACGTGCCTATGTTGACCGGAGGTTTGGTTTCTAGCTGTTGTGAATTCATTACATATAGCATTTCTTGGCAGTTTATGTAAGAACGTTTTGATGGTTTATCGAATTCTATTTGACCTGGTGCTAACAGGAAATGTAGGTGTAGCCATGCATGCAGATTATTCTTTTGTGTGCTAAATTAAGATGCGCAAATTATGTTTCTTTTCTCGAAGTTCAGTCTCAATCATTCACAGTTTTGCAAATCATATATATGGTTCGCTAACAAATACAATACACCAAGAAAATTGTAAGTTTCATGCATTTGAAATCAGCTCGATTATGACGGACTTTATCATATACATGTATATATATAGTCTTTTTTTTTTTGTCAAAGCTTGTATATGTAGTCTAGTGTTATCTTTGATGGAAGTGATTTAAACTTGAGAAATTCAACCGGGCTTCGTAGCCTGGTGGTAAAGGAACCTCGGCTGAGGTGCCCGCCACCCGACTTCGAACCCCGGCCACCACATAATTTACATGCGGAGTTGGTGTGGCGCTCCAGACCACTTAGCGTAACCAGGGGCCCTTAAGTGGACGCTTAAAAATCCTGTCATGGCATGGGCTTAGGCCCGGTGGGCTAGTCGATCACGNTGAGGTGCCCGCCACCCGACTTCGAACCCCGGCCACCACATAATTTACATGCGGAGTTGGTGTGGCGCTCCAGACCACTTAGCGTAACCAGGGGCCCTTAAGTGGACGCTTAAAAATCCTGTCATGGCATGGGCTTAGGCCCGGTGGGCTAGTCGATCACGCTTTGTGGTCGGATACTGGGTTATCAAAAAAAAAAAAACTTGAGAAATTCGCTAGGATAGCTTCTTTTAATTTACTTTCACAAAAATAATTTTTAAGATAAACAAGATTTTTTATTAAATGATAAATATACTCTTATGTTTTTAGAATTAATTAACTAACCATAAACCTATTTGTTTAGAGCTAATGCTGGAGTTTTGGGGATGAAGTTTAAAATACTCAAAAATAATTTAAATATTTAAAATAAATTTAAAAAATAATTTCAAAAAAAAATTATTAAAAAATTCTAATTTTTTTTAACAAGTGCAAATCTGAAAATATTTAATTTTCATATTTAATTTTATATTTATTTATTTATTATTTATATATTTCTATTTTTCATATTTAATTTTTATATTTATTTATTTATTATTTATATATTTCTAAAGTAAATGGCACAAAAGTCTTTAGTCTGTTTAATGAAACATCTTTTAGTTATTTTCTCTTTTAACTTTTTTTGTGATAAAAAATTAAAAACTTTAAAAAAAAATGATATTTGAAAATTGTTCTTTAAATGTTTATTGATTTATTTTGATTTGCCATACATTACTAAAACTACCTTAGGTATAAATTTTGATGGTAGTCTAGTGATAATTTCTTGGAAGTTGGTGTATATCCACATCAGTTTTGAATTCGATCTGAAAATTAAATTATCATTATTTGGTTAATCTGGATTTGAGTTCGGCCCAAGTGGTTTATATGGCGGATCGTAACAGATGGTCGATTCACCTCTTAATATTAGTCGAAAGATAATCTAAATTCAGGTTAGGTAGTGTGGTAATCATCCACTCTTTAACACTAAATGCGCTCTTTCTAGAACCAGTGGAGATCAACTAATAGGATTTATCAAAAAAGAAATTTGAAACCAAGACGATCATGTGAATCGTAAGATTTTGTAGCTAGATAAAGGGAATATTTTGTAGTTCCTTTTTCTTAGATTTTGTTGATTAAGAAAGATAAAGTGGCTAATATAGTCTTCACGGGGTTCTCAAGTCAAGTAGACGATCATGTGAATCTTAAATTCTCAAAAAGCAAATATACGTGGAGAGAAGATTAGCACCAGTAGAACGATACAAATTTAATGCAACAGTTTGAGAATTCTATATTATATATTCTTTCTTTATAATTTGGGTCTCCAACATATGCGATGTTGTTGTCTAGATTTCGAACTCCAGAGTCCAGAGCTTGATATAGAAGCTTTTAAAGTTTAACTATTAGGCTACTTCGCATATTATATACTCTTATATATGGACATATAGACGTGACGTGATGCTACACAACTACACAAGCACTAGGATATAAACATTTGGACGAAGAGAAAAGATGAAATAACGACTTGGGCCGTGCAATCTTATTTGAAGCCTCGAGAATATCCGTGCGCAAGTCCAAGACAAAACGAAGCAACAAAAGTGAACATTTTAGGAAGACATTCTTGTTTGGTCTTTTTAATTTGTTAAAATAAAATATTTGTTTTGTCTTTTTAATTTGTTAAAATAAAATGTTTCTACTAATAGATTATTTACATTTGATGTGTTCTTGATAAAGCTACATTAAACGCGATAACTGAAGGTCTTGCAAAGCATTTTGGACAAGATTTGTTGAAACATTCTGTTGATGGACAATCATAAAGGTTATTTGAAAGTAAAAAAAACTACCATCTTATTATTATTTCAAGAACCATTTTTAACAATTCCATTTTAAAACCGACCTAAACATCATACCTACTATGGAAGAAGAAACCCACAAAGAGAATCAAAAACAACAAAATGAGAAATTGGATCTGATAAAGAGAAAAAAAGTTAGTCATTCTTGAACATTTTAGCAACCTAATAATCTTGTCTTCTTCTTGTTTCTGCTTCCTCTAATGCTTCTTACTTGTGGAAGAAGAAGACTTAGAGTCATCATTAACAGAACCAGGACTCGAAGTCCCTGAGCTACTCATCAAATCTCCCCCTCTCTCTTTACCAGACCAAAGCTTAGAGAACACTCTAGAAACTCCCAATCCTCCTCCTTTCACAAGCTTCCCTTTACTATTCTCCTGCTGTTGATTCTTGGCCAGTCTTAGATTTGCTAACTCTCCTCTCAATGCTTTTATATCTTCAGTGTCCCAACTCTCTCTGTCGTCTTCAGTGTTTGTTGATCTTGAAGCTGGAGTGATCTCTGGAGTGCTGTCTCCGGTTGATGCTGAACCGTTGCTGTTAGCTTTTACTTGTTCAAAGAAGAGCACTTGCACCACCACTCGCATAGGTAACCTCTCGTTTTGAACAGCGTGTGCGCATGCTTCTGCTGATAGTTTTCTACAGTCCATTAGCCTGCATAGCCTCTTCTTCTCACTCTTGTTGATCTCAGGATGTAACTGATTAAGCAAAAATACAAAATCTTAATTAGCAAGTTAGGGTTAGGGCAGCACTTAGGGTTGGGGCACACTTTCTTGTACCTTAAGAAACATGTCGATAGCGCGATAAACTCCATCATGAGACTGTCTTGGAAAGCTTGAGACCATTTCCGCAAGTGCTAGGAACTTCTGAAGTGGTAAACTATCTGTATCCCTCGATTTCTCAGCTAAGTAGCCATCAACAAGCTTTGCGACCGATGCTTTCGCCTTTATATCATCTTCTTGCAAGTGATATTTCAAGAAAACCTCAACTAAGCTTTGCATCAAGTCAACATCATAAACCACAACATCACCTAAACTCGCCTCATTTAGTCGCTCACCGACTCTGTTCATCAAACCTGTCTCTTCATCACAGCCAAGAAAGATGGAAGCTCCTAATAACTTAGTCAAGAAACTACAAGAAACGCTTTGTTTCTCATCAGGAATCATCTCAATGATGGAACCAACCAAAGCTTTGTACTTAGCAACGTCAGTGATCTGCACAGAGCTACTACTTTTGCTGAACCCTGGAACCCTTTTGATAGCATAAGCGTGCAGTGCTTCACCTATAACATCAGCTGAAACCTTCCCTCTTGCTTCTATCGTAGTGATCACTCTTTTAAACAAATCTATATGAAGATCACAAAGATCCTCCACCCACCAGTCTCTAGGAACAGCCTGTGGTCTCCTCAACCCGTTGTCGAGATTCTTCTTCTTGCTGTAAGTATAAGACCATTCAACTCTAGAAGTATCTATGGAAGCTTTAGAAGCGATGGAGTCTAGACAACGCCCTGTCAGCTTCAACTCTTCAGCGTATGGTGACAAAGCTCTCGTGGTCTGAAGCACGATGATGGAATCTTTCCATGTATGGAGTATGCTCGAGTTCAAGAAAACGTCAATCTTGTAAACAAGATTACCTTTCTCTACGGTTTCGTGCATTTCAAGAAACTCAGCTGCGCAGCGAGCAGCGACTACGTTGTAAGCGTTTAGTGTGACGGTCATGCCGTAACAGAACTTGGCACAGATCTCAAATGAAGCAGGACCACCAGGGATGTCTGCTATTTCAATCTCATCTTCTTGATGAATCTCATTGTCTTCGTTGGATGATGTTGCTGCGATTAGTTTCTGCAAACGTGCGCTTTTGGACAGCAATGGAAACTGAAACATAAAATAAATAAATAAAACTTAGGGTAAAGCTGAATCTTGCTATTTTAAGACAAGATGTTAAGTCTTTAGTCTTTAGGGTTTACCTTGTGGAGATAGAACTTGACATCTCCAATGATTACAATAACATCTGTTGCTAAATCACTTGATACATACCTTAAAGAAGAGAGATTAAACAAAGGTTATGAACTTGAAGAGTCTTGACATTATCTAGGATCTATAAATTGATTTTATAATCCATTTTTGATAATCAGAAAGAAGAAAATAAAAGGTCTTCAACACATACCTAATATTGTCTCCTTCAGACTGAAAGGAGTCAGGTTTGGATCCAAGTTTCATGAACTTCATGGTGTTGAGATCTCAAAGAGAGTCAAAATGTGTGTTTCACTTTCTCAAAATGCTTCTCTTGAGTCAGAAACAGAGAGCAACAAAGACTCTAGAAGAGAAAGGGTCTCTCACGCACATCTCAAAGGGAACACTGAAAAAAATATTTAAAAGAGAAAACTCTAGAGATGCACAAAACACCCACTCAAAGCTAGAATTTACTGACACTCACACACAAAGAAACTATTTTTTTTTTTGTTTAATAATCAAATACTTCTCTCTTTTCTAAGTGCTGCACACATTCACGAACACAGAAACATGTGAACCGTTGTGTGTTTGTGGGTTGATGGGCAATGTCTTTTAGTAGTAAACCTGCAAGAATCAAACAAAAACGGAGAAAAAGAATTAAAGATTACCACTTATTCAGTAGACATAATGAATCATATCTTTTTGGATGTTTGCTGAAACGAATCTAACAAAAAAACATTAGTGGCACAGATCGTTTATATCAGTACAAGAGGACTGCAAAAGTAAAGAAAAAAATAGTTAAAAAACAGGAATTAATTCTTTTCTTTCAAACCCTTATATACTAAATTACAAGACTTCATAAAACAGTTGTAATTAAGATATATATATACAAACAAAAATTAAGAAAAACTATAACAAAATTGTTACTCACAAATTTGGAAAAAAAAAAATCAGAATCCAAAGGTTATAGTACCTTTCTTGTTTTTTTTTTCTGCAAGGTCTCTTGGTAAGAGCTACTACCACGCCTGAAAATGTACTGATATATACTCGTGTGGCTATCTCTTCTCTATCTATGAAGAGCCCCACCAACTAGGCAACATCAAAAGTATGAATGAGCTGTGTTCTTCAACTTTAAACCCATGGACACAAAATAGCGCTACAAACCAAGAACAAAGCAGAAGCCTTTATTTGTGTTGAGGACGACCCAGGATCAGAGTTTATGATAAAAGGTTTTTCTTAAGAGATCAAACAGTGACCTCTCGGATATAAAATGGATGCTATTTTTCTTTGAAATTAGAGGAGAAAAAAGCCAAACAGAGCTGAAAGAGAGAAAGAAGAAGAGGCCAGAGAGATCGAGAGAGAGAGAAAAAAGGGTAAAGCTGTTCTGTAGAAATGCACGCGAAACCTGACAAAGGCCACTTACTTGAGTGCCCCCTCCTCTTCAGACAAACTTACCTTCTTTTCAGGCTATGTTTTCTTCTTTCCTTTTCATCATCTCTATTTTTTTTTTTATAGAAATACCATTTTTTAGCTTGTTATTATATGGTTCTCCTATTTATCACAAATTATATTTATATTTATTTATAAATTATGAAAAGTTTTGATAAATTTATGTTAAAATCTTTCATTTTAATGTAATATATAACACATCAATATAACGTGTACCCTTTAAAATATTCAAAACTCATAATAATGATGTTACCATTTACCATTTACCATTTTCCTATCTCTCCTGCTTTGTGAAATTTATGATAACGTGGTAGTATAACGTGAAAGTGTGAGTGGTACAAGTATATATTTATAAACTAAAGGTCAAAGAGCTTCAAAACCTATTTGGACCTCTAAAGATTTTGTTAGCGGCTGCTGCAGAAAATCTTATTCATGACGTAATATTAAATATCCTCAAAGGCTAATCATATGATAAATGGTACGATGCATGTGGCAGCCAATAAGAATCCAATGCATGTTAAGTTAAGAAGTTAGAAGTCTGATTCATTGCTGCTTCATCTTCACATGGTGTATACATCTGACGAATCTATTCACATTATCCAATAGATTTACCTCATTACTTCTTTATTGTTTTTTTTCTTGTCCTTTGATCAGATTTGCATCTATTTCTGGCCTCAGCAAGTAATGTTTGGACGTCATGGATGACATCTAAATGTTTAAGAGTAGTGTTAGTTTAAACAATAATTATAAGTTCAGATAAATTAATTTTCTTAGACCAATCCTACCGAAGTTAAGCATGTCTTCATTTTATTATATTCTTGTTTATTGACATTGGTAATTTTCCCTCGACATAATTTACAAACAACTTGATCTAAATATCAGATGGTGTGATAAACTTTCTGAATGTAATTAACGTAAAAGCAAAAAAAAAAAAATGTTTTGTAACACACAAAAAAGAACTTCCTAATATAAAATCAACATATATACGATTTGAATGGATTTAAAAATGGTTCATATATCATAGAGATTCTTCTTTTGTGCACAGTTAGAAAGTAATTGATCAGTTCTTGATATTGAGCCTCTGTATAAAAGCCAACAATCTGTAATTTTAAATTAAAGAGATATTTTTTTTGTTTAACTAATTAAAGAGATATATTTAAAACATAAATTCTTGTGATTGTGGCAAAGCACATGGCCTAAGATTACCATTTGCGAAAGAATTGGCATAAATTTAGAAACGCACACAGCTAATAAATGACTGTACTAGGAACAAAAGCTATAATGATGATTCTCTTTGTCTAGTTTCACTTTTGTGCATTTTTAAGTTGAGAAAAAGAATTGATCGATATGAACTAATTTAATAGCTCGCAATATTTTCATTTTCTCCCCTATAATCTCTTAATTTGAATTATGAAACATATTTAACTGAATGACATCTTTTAAACAAAAATTTACTTTGTATGGACATGCATTTTTTCTTTTGTAAATCCTATCGGCTGATCTGGTCGATTCAAAAAATATATACTTAATGGTACAAAATAGACTAACCCGAAAATATATCACATTGTCTGATTCGAATTTAAAATACTTTCCGAATAATATTAGAAGGCAGATCGATCACCTGTCACATCTCATCATATAAATTACTTGAATCCAAATCCAAATTCAAACCGATTAATTAGTGATAATTTAATTCTTAGAAAAAATCGCATGCAACACTGATGTGAATAGACATCAAGCTCAAGCTCCAAGAGATGGACATGCATATTTGTTTTAGAAAATTTCAGTTTTGTATACCACAATAAAAGAAACGGTTTTAATATTTTTGCTTACGAGAGAAAAATCCAAAACTCTTTAGACTCATAGCTCAGAGACGATACTGAGAGTTATGTGGTGGAGAATGCAATTTATGTCTACCATTTTGAAAGTTTTTCTTCTGAGATTTTTCTATTTTCGTATTCTTAAGTGCACATTATTTTACCTAGAATGAGTTCAAGTAACTTCTTTTAAAGTTTAGTGATAAAAGGATTAGAAAACGTTTTATCAGAGTTTTATTTCCCAGCTAACAAAATATTATATCAGAATTTTCTTTCCCAAAGTATTGAACGTTCAAGTGGAAAGCTACATGTTACCTAATAACAATATGGACGACTTGAGTACCCGTGTGATTATGGGAACCACCAAAACGTGGTCCATGCATCTCTTTTTTAGCCAGCCTTTATCTATTCCTTTCCCCCAAATATCATCTGTTTATACATCTCTTGTTAAATTTTGGGCAATTTTTTCGAATAGACATTGTAAGGTTTTTGTCATAAAAATAGAACTCAAAAATTAAAAGAATCAAAATAACATTATTTTATTTTGAAAATTTAAAGAAATTTCTTTTTTACAATTTGAAATCTTATCCCAAAACTCCACTGATCAATTATAAACCTTAAATATAAACTATAATGTCTAAATTAATTAATCCTAAGAATATAAGTATATATTTACTTCTTTGATAAAATATTTAAGTAAAACATTAAAGTTTATTTTGATCATTTTTATTTTTAAAGTCTGTAATTTGTGACAATTTTTTTTAGATATATCCTAAGTTTGTTTCTCTAAATTCTTTTCATATTTTTTATTAATATTGTCCTGTTTTTTATTAATATTTGTCCTGGATCAACGTGATTGTTACCTCTTAACCATGGAATCTTATATATGTAATTCATTTTCGATAGTGAATTTTTTTGGACGTCTTTCGATAGTGAATAAAACTTAAAATATTTGAATATTATTCACCAAGTTATTTTGAAATATAAAAAAGTAAAGTCGTAAGCCTCGAAAGAAGAAAACCTCTCGCCAAGCCAGAGGGTTCTGATTATTGGCGGTAACGAGAGCGAACGAGAGGTATAAAAAAGGATTATTTTTATATTTTGTCACCAAAATCAAGAAATCAGAAAAGTTAAATCTTCGAATCGATCTTCTTCGTGTAATCTGCGATCTATAACGAACCGTCTTGGAATATTTATCATCTAAGGTAAGATTTTTCGATGCAAGTTTATGTTTTATATCTTTTCTTTTTTTGGCAGATTCGTTTTGTGTGTTTAGGGTTTTGAAAATCGTTCTTGAGGATGGAAAAATCATGACTTGCGATGAGATGATTAGTGGGTTTGTTCTTTTGTATCGTTTCGATGTTGGTGGATTGTGATTGAAAGAGTTTATGCGCACCAAGTGCTCGATGAATTGTCCATGTCATGTGTGAACCGCTTTTTTCGATACAAAAAGCTTCCGTGTCTTGTCCTTCTTGTTCTCTACCTATTTGGATTCAAGAGATGCTTTTTTTGTGTGGCAGTAAAGAGTATAAGCAGTGACTGTTGAGTTTTTCTGATCTTTGTTAGTAGAATTAGTGAGACTCTTATTATGTTTTGGAGGTTTGAGAATTTGTGGTCCTTGATTTGATGTGCTTTTGATTTCTTTTCTTTTGTAGGATACTCAAAAAGTATCACAGAGGTCAAGATCAAGAGCAAGAAAGCTTAATCATTTGCGAGGATGGACCCGCAACATACTGGTGATTTGTTCAAGTAATTCTCATTATGATAGCTTTCTTTGTTACTTATAATCTGTATTCTTAAACTAATTTGTCTTTGTTTGTCAAATAGGCATCTAGAGAAGCAGAATGAGTTACTCAAGGAAGCTCATAAAACCATGTCACAGGAAATTCAAAAACTCATGGTATTGTGATCAAATAAACTCTTTTTGACGAGCTTGTGATGTAATTACCGAGTGGAGATCGTTTGACTGATGAGCTTTTCATTTTTCTTTTGTTCAGGTGGAAGAACAGATGATGATGCATAAACTCTATGAGCTAATGGTTACTCATCGTAAAAATAACAAGGTATGCTCTGTTTCTTGAAGATACACTGTCTGAATTGTCGATAAGCAGAGAGTTTAGAGGACTTAGGAGAGAAACTTACTGATCGAGCTTGGTTTTGTAGGAAATGAAGAAAACTCAAAATGTGTTGGAAGGAAAAGAAACGCTTGAAGAAGCTTCTTCTTTAGCAATAGTTCCTACTGGTGATGAAGAACAGTGAGTAACTCACATTTTATAAACCAGGATAGACCAGCCCGGTTTGTGATAGGCCTAATTGTATTAGTTTTGAGAGAAACAGTGTCTTATGACACTGATTTTTGATTCTTGAGCTCTCTTTACAAAGAATCTGCCACCTATGTACATGTATAAAATATATATATGCAATCGCTGATTCTAAAATAAAATGAAATGAAATGGTGTCACAGAGTAGCATCCGTTGCCTGCAAAATGAATTGAGACCATCCAATTCTCTTGGTGATCAAACTCATTCTTCACCAGAAGTTTCCATTCAAAAGAAACAAAGAAGAGTCTATTTTAAGGAAACATAAAGTCTTACAAAAATATAGGAATCATAAATCAGATATTTGTTTTTAATATACTAAATCCCTATCAAACTTAAGAGTTAACAATGAAAAACAGAGTAATTGCAGAAGGCAAAGACTTTTCTGTTCTAAAATTTTGAAGAAACTGGTCTAATAGATAAGAAGAGCTATCTTTAAAGAGCGGTTTGATCAGACGGGAATGGTCTTCAATCCTGCAGCTATTGGCATACCCAAGAAACCTATGATGATACTGAAGATCCATTGCACTAATGTCAGAGGTGTTGTGCTTGCAAATGTCCCCAAGAACTCAATGATTATGATCTGAGAAAACACCGTTGCACTGATCACAACCACAAAGACGTAGTTGTCTAGTATTCCTTTGAACACATCGATCTCTTCCATCTCTCTCGAGCTTATCTCGTTAAACACCTGGACATTTCAGACCAAAGTCATGTCAAGATTCAATCAATAATTGGAATATTATGCTTTTGTCTTTTCTTTTTACCTGACAGAAGACGAAACAGTTGAAGATAAGAGTGTTTAACATGAGAGTTGAGTCAGGACCGTCGAGACCAAACACAGACTTCCCTTTGGCTTGGAGAAACCAAATGACTATGAACTGATACACAGACTGTCCTAGAATGTTCCTCCACATGGCGTTAGTGATGAAGTTCCCTCTCCGTCCAACGGGTAAGCGTTTCATCAGCTCGTTATTTGGTGGCTCTGTAGCTAAAGCAAGAGCTCCAAGTGTGTCCATGATCATGTTCACCCATAGCAACTGAACAGCAGTTAAAGGAGCACTCCCTGGTAGATTGTTAATCAAGAGTTAGTTAGTAAAGTAGAGATTCAAAATCATTACAATCTTTACTCACCAGTTAAGCAAGCTGAAGAGAAGTTAACAATCAGCGCAACAACGTTAACCGTGAGCTGAAACTGAACGAACTTTTGGATGTTTATGTAAACAGAACGTCCCCACTTAGCAACTGTGACGATTGTGCTGAAGTTATCATCAAGAATGATGACATCAGCACTCTCTTTTGCCACCTGAAACGTTATAAAAAGAAAGAACGTTTAGACTCTTTAAGCTCAAAAAGGACATATTCAGAATCTCATACACTCACTTCAGTTCCAGCAATTCCCATTGCTAATCCAATATCAGCTTCATGAAGTGCAGGTGCATCGTTGGTTCCATCTCCAGTCACAGCAACAACTTCATCAAACGTTGTCCTTAACTGTTTCACAAGTGTATGTTTATCCATTGGTGAAGAACGAGCCATCACTTGAATCTTTGGAATTAGCTCTAGCATCTCTTCTTGACTCTTCTCTCTGAACACTGGACCTTCTATTGCTATACCATCATCAGTTAGAATCCCACATTCTCTCGCAATTGCTTTGGCCGTGTTGATGTTATCTCCTGTAACCATTCTCACAGTGATACCAGCGCGGCGACAAAGCTCAACAGACTCTTTAACTCCAGGACGAACAGGATCTTTGATACCAACAATCCCTACACAAGTAAATCCAGAGGCAGGGATAGCTTCATCCGGTGAAAACCCGTTTTCAAGATCCATGTAAGCAAGGCAAAGAGTGCGGAGAGCTTCATTAGCAAACTCATTGATAGTAGCATTCAGAAAGTTTATTGATTCTTCATCAAGTGGAACAACCTCACCGCTTGAGTTCACAACTTTATCACAAGCAGCTAACACTATCTCTGAAGCTCCTTTAGTGTGAGCGCGGAGACTTCCTCCCTCTGGAAGCTCAATCACAACTCCCATTCTCTTCTTTGTGGAGTTGAAAGGCTCAACTTTAACCACTTTGTAAGATTTTCTCTCTTCTTGGAACTTACCACCAAGAGACAATCCAAGCTCTAAGATAGCTGTCTCTGTGGGCGAGCCCAAGATCTCAGTCTTCCCATGCTTGTTCACAACAACTTCTCCTCCGGTGTTGTTGAATATCGACTGAATCAACAACTTCACAGCAGATTCAGGGATCTCTGACTGCAAACTAGAGCCTTTGTTTGCAACATCTTGAACACTCATGCAAATGCAGGACTTCACAACGGTCATGTGATTGGTTGTGAGTGTACCAGTCTTGTCACTGCATATCGTCGTTGCGGATCCCATAGTCTCACAAGCTGCTAAATGCCTGACGAGAGCTTTATCATTCATCATCTTCTTCATAGCAAAGGCGAGACTAAGAGTCACAGCTAAAGGCAACCCCTCAGGAACAGCAACCACAACAATCGTCACAGCGATTGCAAAGTACTCCAAAAGCTCCAACGCCTCATCACCAGACCATATCCAATGAGTTCCCATCGATACCTTCCTCATAAACATCCCTTGCACCAAAACAGCGAAAGTAACCACCGCAAAGAACAAACCAATTTTGCCAATGATGGTAGCAACTCCATTAAGCTTCACCTGCAAGGGAGTCTCATCATCTCCACCTTCAGTCAAAGTCGCCATTAGCTTCCCCCATTGAGTCCTCATCCCAACGGTAGTAACCATCATCTTACAAGACCCATCTTGCACTTTGGTCCCAGACAAAAGGAAAGGATTCTGAGCATTCACCATCACAGGCTCACTCTCACCAGTCAAACTACTCTCATCTATCACCACAGAGAATCCAGACAAGAAAAGCCCATCAGCAGGGACCTGATCACCAATCCCTAGATGAACAACATCACCAGGGAGCAACTCATAGATAGACAACTTCTGCCTAAACCCATTCCTAGTCACCTGAACTGTAATCTTCTTCTTCTCTTTATCCAAATCCCTAAACTGCAAAGACTGACGATAGTCACTAGTGGCAGTCACAAACACAACCAAGAGAATACTAGCAACAATGCCAAGACCATCATGTGACCCTTTAGGCCACCCTTCAGTAGCTATCCCAACGATTAAAGACACGAATGCGCAAACACCGAGGATCATTAGAGTCATGTCTTGAAGTGCTTCCCATACAAACACCCAGAAGCTTTTCAGTTCACTCTCTGCGAACTTGTTGATACCGAACAGGTCTTGGCGTTGGGATAAGTGAGCAGCGTCTGTTGAGAGGCCTTCAGTGGGAGATGCCTTGAGCTTGGTAGCGAGTCCATCGACTCCACCGTGGAACTTTAGTTTCTTGACGTCGTGGCTTTCAACTATTGATCCTAGCTCGTCAGCGCAGATGTTGAAGCCTGCTGCTTTTACTTCTTCAGGGACAGTGTAGTCACTTGGAGCCACACCTACAAGCCATCAAATATGAATTTATATATATTTTTTTAAAACGACAAATGAATTTATATAAACGTATAAAGAAAGAAACAAACAAAATCAAAACTTTGACACAAACTAAAGACAAAGCTGAACACAAATTAGCAAAAGGCAAAAAAATGCTCAAAACTTTGACATAAGTTAGCAAAAAGCTTTAAACTTTAGACACAAATTAACCAAAGAAAGCTCCAAATTTTGACACAAGTTAGCAAAAAGCTCCAAATTTTGACACAAATTAACCAAAGAAAGCTCCAAACTTGGACACAAGTTAACAAAAAAAGCTATGAACTTTGACACAAATTAGCAAAAAACTGAAAAAGCTTTAAGCTTTGACACAAATTAGGAAAAAAGCTCACAAATTAGCAAAAAAAGCTTCAAACTTCTTTTTTTGCCTTTTTAAAGCTTTAAACTTTGACACAAGTAAGCAAAAAGCTGTGAACTTTGGACATATAAACTCTCACCAGAGATGAACTGAAAAGCAGCTTTTGAGACGAGAACTGCGATCCTCAACTTCTCCTGTAAATAAAAAGCTTTAAGATCCTTTCTAGAAGGAGCAACCGATCACATGAAAAGAGAACAAGGAGAAGAAGGAGACAAAACCTGGTTCGTGCGTCGCATCGCAGCTGCTTCATAACGTTTCGAGAGATTCGCGGTGAAACGAAAACGGCGTTTAGGGTTCTTGACGACGCCGCAGAGATTGCGCCATTTCTCAAGAGCTTCCTCAGAGGAATGCTTCGCCTTCACATCGAAGTTTTGGTTCAGGTAACTCTCCATCTTCCTCCAGCTTCTGTTTTTTTTTTCTTTTTTTTTTCTGAAGACTCTTTCTCTCTGCTTATTTGGTGGAGAAGAGAAAAGAGACTAATTTAGTGGGTGAGGAAGAAAGTTCGGAAGCTTTTAATGGGAGAAGGCAAAGTTCTTTTTTTTTTTTTAATCTCTCTAAAGATCTGAGTCGCTGAGTTTTGAGAGGGGAGAAGCTGAGTTGACTCGTATTAATTCGTGTACCCAACCAAGTATTATTACATCTACCTCTGCTACTCTACTATCATTTAATAGAAAACATTCTATTATTACAGTAATGATAACAACATGTGCACTAGTACGCATTAATAGCGCTGTTAAAATAATGCATGCTTGAATATTCATGCGGAGCATGAAGAGTACACTACAGACGCGTTTTCAGACATTTATTTTCTTTAGATCATTAGTGATTTCTTTTTGGGTTAATCATGAGTGATTATTTTGATTAATTGATTTTCTTTCCTTCCTAATTTGTGAATGAAGCTAAATAATTAAAGAAAACAAATCAGGAAGAATTTGTGGAGCGACCGAGTGATTGTGGTCGAGTGGTAAGGAGACGGGGCTGAGACACCAACATGTTTCAGGTTCGATCCATCTGCTGCGCGAAACTAAGTCACAATTATTCTGGTCACCTAACACGAACATGGACCTATGTTTTAGGGTCCATTTGAATACCCTGAGAGAGGGTCTATCTGTGGACTGCACCTCCCCTTGGGGATTAGTTTGGACCTCTCCATGGGCCTAAGATACCCCCAGGTTAATCAAAAAAAAAAAATTTGTGGAACAAATAATTTTTT